CTGCTCACATACTAGGGAAAGCAGCAGCAGACAGCAAGTGCGGGGCTCCTGGCTTTGACCTGGGACAGTCCATTTCTGCAGCTGTAACCTGCATAGGAAGATTTCTGTCTCCCCTTGTAAGAATCTTTACAAAAAAAAAAAAAAAGCAACGTACTCTGCAGATTGAGGGGGCTTGCACTCCCTTTGTGCCTAAACTGCTGAATGTTGTTGCCTTCCGAGTCCCTTTGCTTTAAGACTGAAGCTAATATCTGACATTTCTATTACATGAGCACTGTCAGGCATCTAGCCCACTAGCTAAGCTGCACTGATGTCAGAGGGGCTGGGCTCGAGTCCGCTGCTGGCTCCAACTTCCCGCCAGTGCAGGCTTGGGAGGCAGCAAATCCTGGCTCGAGTAATCGGGTTCCCAGGTCCCAGCTTCAGCCCCGACTGCCGCAGCATCTGGGTGGCAAGCCAAGAGGAGTAAATTCTCACTGCCTCCCAAACGAGAATTTCAATGTCATCAATTGTAATAAATGTAATTACACAATACCCTAAAAGCAAGTTACATGAAGATATGAACTAGGGCAGCTCTGCAGCTCATCACAGCTTCTGGTTTGTTTTTTTTTTTTTTTGACAATCTTGACATAATTAGGGTAAAAAGGTTCAACCACTACAGGAAGATGGGCAAGACAATTAGTTCCGTATTGTTTCCTTCATGTATCTGATGTAAAAGGAGATTTTAAGGGAGAAGCCCCAGCCAGTCTCCTACCCACCACAGGTCTCAGATGTGGGGCATGCTCCAAGAGTCTTGCTCAATAATTCAACAGTTCTGAATTGCTGTCACTTCTGTTGTTTTTAAAAGCAGGCTTTCTGCACTTATGTTGTCACCAGTTAGTGGCAGTCCTCCTGCAGCCCCCAGGTGCCTTGGGCCGGATTCCCCTCTGACAAGCACAGTGTGGTTTCCATAACAGGTTGCTCTGAAAGTGGTTCTGCACCCCGAGGCTCTAGCTTGGTCCCCTGTGGCCGGCAGCTTCCACTTATTTGTGATGGTTTCTGGGCCCTCACTTAGCCACTCACCAAGAAGTGTGACATGAAGTGTGGCAGACTATCAGGACACTCACCTACCAGTAAAGTGGGCAGGAATACCTGCAGTGTGAGCCCGATAGGTCAGCACTAGTGGGCGTTTACACTGCAGCAAGGGCAAAAGCACAAAAAATTGGGAAGCTAAAAGGCTACACCCCCAAACCTACAGCCCCTCCTTAAGGACTGTCACCACCCATACTACCTGCCTATGGGCCAACTCAAGGGGAAAGAACATGGATAACCCCCTTCCCGCTTTGTGTCCTTCCCACCATGCCACCCCATCCAGCACTCTGACACACTTTACAAGGACACCTTGTGGGTACCCACTGGACAGTCACAACACTGCCCCCACTGCAACATTTGTAGGGAAATGGCATTCCTGACAGTGACAGCTGCCTTGATCTAGCCATGAGTTTCTACAATGGAGCAGTATATAGCTACGTTACAGGGAAAGGCATAAACGAACAGTCTTCTCTCACGTTAAAAGGTTAGTAACAGGACCTGTTTGATATTTACAGCAAACCCATCTCTCGCACAGGAGAGTCTAACTGCTAACCGCCAGTGGATGCCTGGAACTGGAGTACGTACTGACTGTTTACATACACAGCCATGATAAAGTTTGTAAATTAGGCACAGTAAGCCTAACAATAAACTAGGACACTGTAAGGCCACACTGTCAGCACAGCTATGTGAATGTGGTCTCTAAACACCTTAGCACATGGTACTAACTGTGGCTGACCATGGGAAGGAAAAAACCACAGCAGCTCTTCCAACGGGTGGAGCACCTGACCTCAGCATTGCCATTCTCACGTATCCTGTATTTGCTGCTTAGCCCAGATAACCCTTGTGGACAGGAACTAACAGTTCACAGTCATGAGCACCCATGTGCACACCCAGACAACAGCCTGGGTCACTGACTGGACTGCACCCATGTGCACACCCGAACAACAGCCTGGGTCACAGACTGGACTGCACCCATGTGCACACCCAGACAACAGCCTGGGTCACAGACTGGACTGCACCCATGTGCACACCCAGACAACAGCCTGGGTCACAGACTGGACTGCTTTCCTTCAAGTTCTTGCTCCTGTGTGGGCCAAGCCATGAGCAGTCATGGACAGCCTAGTGGTTCCTAAGCTTCTGATTGCTGTGATCTCTCATTGGCCTGATCTGACCTGCTCCCTCCCACCAGGCCTTCTACTTACACGTTCTTGCCGAGACGAGATCCCCTGGTTCTCCTGAGATTATCACCAATAGCATTATTTCTAAACATTATCCCACCAGGGTGGAAGGCATTGTATGGGGTGGAGCTTATTATACACCTTGACCTCCAGTCATGAAATCCAGCAGTCGCCAAGCTCCGGGGCCAACTCCACCCTAGGACCTTCATGTAGCCAGGTAGTATTTCTAGCCTGGTATCAGATGGACAGACATTTGCTTACTGGGGACACGACCTCATTTCTTTATTTTTTAACGATTTATTTATTTTTATTACAAAGTCTGATATACAGAGAGGATGAGAGATGAGAGAGGAAGATCTTCTGATGATTCACTCTCCAAGTGAGCCAACGGCAGGTGCTATGCTGATCCAAAGTCAGGAGCCAGGAACTTCTTCCAGGTCTCCAACACGGGTGCAGGGTCCCAAAGCATTGGGCCATCCGTGACTGCTTTCCCAGGCCACAAGCAGGGAGCTAGATGGGAAGTGGAGCTGCCGGGATTAGAACCAGTGCCCATATGGGATCCCAGGGCATCCAAGGCGAGGACTTTAGCCGCTAGGCCACCGTGCCAGGCCCACCACCTCATTTCAAAGATAATCATTGGGACAGTCCCTAGTGATCCACTTCAATGAGCAATACAAACTGCACATTCTGAACTCCATGTACTGTCATGATGTGAGCCATGCTTCTGCGTTCCAGTGAGCGCATGAATCACTGATGGCGGTCTTGTTTAAAAAGGTAGGTTCTTACTCAGTAGGCTGACGTGTAGCCCTGTACTCCCTGGCGACCTGGTTGGCTATAAGCTCCACCCCACACAATGCCTTCCATCCCGGTGGGATGTTTGGAAATGAAGCATCTAACCAGAGCAGGAACAAGCTGTCTAACCTCCAGCTGCTCTGCACTATGACATGTCCTTACTTACTCCAGGACCCCAGATGTTTCCTAACCCGCAACGCACACTAACACCTAGCTACACCTCTGAATCCCCAACAGAGCTCTTTCCAGGGCCCAGTGCTGACAGGCCTTCAAAACACAAAACCCCACTGCCCCACACAGTGACGTAACGCTAACCCTATACCTGCATCTCACACAGGTACAGATTCATGTCCGGCTGTTCCACATCCAATCCAGCTCCCTGCTTGTGGCCTGTGAAAAGCAGTGCATGCATGCATGTTGGAAGAGGATGATGGACCCTGCACCCACGTGAGAGGGCCAGGAGCTCTTGGCTTCAGATTGGTTTGTCTCTGACATATGCAGCTATTTAGGGAGTGAACCAGCAGAAGCTCAAGTGTTTATTTTGGTTATTTTTTCTTTCATGAAATGGTGGTCCCTCTAAATTAGGCTAAAAATGAATATTTGTCCAAGATTTATAACACATTCCACAATTAGCCACCAAGTCTTACGAAAGACAAAATCATTTTCATCACTAAACAGTATCTGCAGGTTTAGAAATATCTAGACATCAAATGAGTATATTATTGCACTGAATTTACAAGTGCTCAAAATTTAAACTCAGGGCCTGGCACGGTACCTTAACGGCCAACGTCCTGGCCTTGCATGTGCCAGGATCCCATATGGGCACCGGTTCTAATCCCAGCAGCCCTGCTTCCCATCCAGCTCCCTGTTGTGGCCTGGGAAAGCAGTGGAGGATGACCCAAAGCCTTGGGACCCTGCACCTGCATGGGAGCCCTGGAGGAGGGTCTGGGGTCCCAGCTTCAGATCAGCTCATTACCAGCCATTGCGGCTGTATGGGGAGTGAATCAGCGGGCAATTGATCTTCCTTTTTGTCTCTCCTCCTCTTAGTGTATCTGAATTTGACAAAAATAAATCTTTTGAAATAAAATCAATGGCCAAATACTGAGCTGCATGGTTAGAGAAAAAATACAGGCACAGAAATTCCTTTCAGAGGAAAACACACCTGTGAAGCACCGTTTCTCATGTGCCAACACTTGCAAACAAGAGAATCCCCAGGAGCATGTCTGGCACCTGCCCAAGCATCTCCTGAGCGTTTAATTTAGCATCCTTAGGGATGCTACTAAATTTACTGCCCTCAAAGATAACAAACTGGGGTGTATTAATAACTCATTGAAGCAACACAGCAAAAGTTGAACTGGACACCTGAACCTGAAGGGTTAAGTCAAAAGTTAACCTCAATCATCCCCCCAAAGCCCTTTGTGATACACCAGTGCTGCTAGTGTAGAACACTTGCCCGGGGCCCAGGGAGCCTTCCACCAAGCACTGGGCTTCATACTCAAGTCGAGAGCAAGGCCCAACCCCGTTAAAGCCAGCTCACACGGGCTGGGGAACTCACCTGGCACATGCCGGCATCCCACGTGAGTTTTTGGTTCTAATACCAGCAGCCTTGCTCCCCATCAAGCTTCCTGTTGTGGCTCGGGAAAGCAGATGAGAACAAGCCAGAGCCTTGAGACCCTGCACCAGTGTGGGAGACCTGAAAGAAGCTCCTGGCTTCAGGTCAGCTCAGCTCCAGCCGCTGTGGCCACTTGGGGAGTCAATGGAAGATCTTCCTCTCATTCTCGCTGCCTCTAAAGCCAGCTCACGTGACCACAGCATGCACGTTAGCAAGCTTGTGAACACAGGCTGTGCCCGGGGCATCCCACCCCATCAGTGGTCAGCGAGGGTGTTTACAAGATGGTCCCAAGGAAGCGCTCAGACTTGAAAAGGCCAGGCTCCTTTCACAGAAAAACACAACAGCAACGCAAATTTCACTGAAAACATTTTATTGGCCTCTTAGATAGAAACGGGAATTTATTTGCCAGGAAGGATGATTCCATCATACTGAAAGAGAAGAGATTGCATTTTTTTCAGAACACGCAGCAGAAGCACAGTCAACACTAGCTAATGCTTGAACCTAGGCTCTGAATTTCAAGTCTGTTCTGCACTAAACAGCAAGTACTGCACTGTTCCATTGCACAGTAACCTAAAAAAAGGGGACCCCCCCCCCGCCACAATAATACCTCCTCCTAGTTACCCACACTCAGGAGGGCAGGAGGAAGCCTTAGTTCTGGGTGATCCTTTAAACTACTAACCCTGGAAGCCTCCATCTGCCAGGCTACCCACCAAGTGGCAGCATGTTCTGCACCCCCCCAGCCATACCAGAAGTTGAAATAAATGAGAATTACCTTCTGCTGGAACCAGCGCATGGCCTCCTCTTTGCTGATTCTGTGTTTGGCCCCAATGCAGCCTGTCCTGCGCTTCTTGTCTGCGATGCTGAAGCCTGGCCTGCCCAGCACCTGTCCCAGGAGTAACCCAGTCACCTCACCAGCTCAAACTCCAGTGGCTTCTGGAGCAAGATCCACTTCTCCATGAGACAGAAGCATCACCAGCACCCCAGACCATGCACTGCCACAACACAGATTTGTCTGAAAGGCCGGCCCTTCCCAACCCTAGATCCTGGAGAACAGCTCCACTGTAGACAACAAGCAATTTTGAGAAGCACAGAGATCCACCTACTGCTACATCTGGCTCGCACATGGCAGCAGCACAAAGGGTCATTTCTGCACTAACCCCATCCCAGACACAGCACCACTGTCCCAACCTGTCCCTACGTTCTGCTGACAGGAGCTTCCTTCACCCACACTGGTGCCAGATGGCTCCCGGGCTGGAATTTGGGCAACAATGGCCAGTACCATACCCCTACACTTACCACAATCGAGGCACATCTTGCCAAGTGCCAGAACATGCATACAGAGGACACCCCCTAAGCTTCAAGCCAATGTGCGAGCATCCAGACAGTACCCACCAAGGCCAGGTTCTCTCTCCACACAAACCAAGAGTGGGGAAGGATTAGGCATACCACATAGAAGTCCAGGCCGTAGATGCCAATGCTTGGGTCATATTTAATTCCCAGGTCGATGTGCTCTTGGATCCCAAAACCAAAGTTTCCAGTGTCTGAGAAGTTATTTTTCCTCAACTCGTACTCCCGCACCTAAGGGAGAAAATGACAACCACATTCTTTGTTAGCTCTGTTAGCTCCTTCCAAATAACCAACTCAACCTGTAATACTTAGCACTCCAGAGCATAAGTACAACACAGCGCACCCCTGCAAGGGACAGTCTTAACCAACACACCCCAGTATGGTCTCTACGTAAGTCTCCCAACTTCCAAAGGACAGGGAAAAACCCTGAAACAAGAGGCACCAGTGACTCCAAGCAGGTATTAAACCTCAACTTTGTTGAGAGTTGAAAAACCATTACAGAAGAGACGATAAAAGTACCAGGATACCACAGATCACTCCCACCCTGGTCACCCACCAGACAGTGGGTGCCAATCAATCCTCTCACCCCACAGGGCGAGAGTCAGCCTCACCTTCAGACCCTTCTCCAGGATCTCCTCCGCCTTGGCCCCACGGACCGTGCAGTGCACGGCGATCTTCTCATTTCTCCGGATGCCGAAGGACCTGACTGTGTACCTGGCTGCAGACAGGGCCAACAAGGGGTCAGGTGCCGCCAACCTCCCACCCACGGGCCCCTCCACCACCACCCACAGTGGCATAAACTCCCTGCCCAATTTAATCTCCCACCCAGAAACAACATGGTGATTTCCAAACCACGTAGCCTCACTGCTCCAACTACAACCTTAACAACTGGTAACAAAATTTGCTAGATAAGCCACATTCTAAACACACCGGCGTGCTCTCAAACACGTGTGAGAGCTGACACCTGCCCAAACCGTATTACTGTTCTGTTAGCTCCATTCTGGGTTAGATGCAGCCCGCCACAGCCCACCACCCAATGCAATGTGCGCCTCACAAACTCGCCCTCCATGCTCTTGGGAGGCCCACTGTGTACCCTGACCCTCCTGTCCCATACAAGACCCTGCTGTCCCCAGCCTACCTCGCACCCTGTTCACCTGCGGCCAGGAGAGGGCCACAGCCTGCCACCCTCTAAGCAGCTCTGGCAGCAGGGGGGACACCCCACTCACCTTTGGAGAACACGGGGGTCTGGCCCGTGAGCTGCTCCAACACCTTGGCCGCCCGAGTCAGTCTGTCTCCACTCTCCCCCACGCAAATGTTGAGGCAGAGTTTGCGGATGCGCAGTTCCCGCATGGGGTTCTCCTTCTCACCTTGGTCCTGGACACAAGGGGAACGCGGGGTCAAAACCCGACCTCCCGGGGGTGTCTGCCTACACCCCAAGCCCCACGTGGTTCCTAAAAAGGGGTCTTCTGTCTTCGTGAACATGCCCGGCACTGGGGATGCAGTTCAGGGACTAAGCACCCCCAATGCAAAAGCGCGTAAAAGTAGGAGTCACGGCGTTGCAGGACGCCACCCAACCCCATTCCGAGGCGGTCTGCGGCAGGAACCCAGAGCAAGCGCCTTCCCCAAGCAAAAAAAAACCCAGGACCGCCAAGCACCGGGCTGGTCTCCAGGGACAAGGTCTAGACCCCTCCGCCCGCCCCCTCTAGTGCTCGGGCTGCCCAAGGGCCGTGCCTCCGCGCGCCCCGGGCAGCCGCTCCAAGCCTGTTCCTAGGAAGCCGGGAGGAGTGACAGGAGCCAAGCCCGCGGCTTCAGTCCGCACGGCAGGGCCAGTTTCGGTCCAGCCAGCCGTGTGGGCTCCATCCTCCTCGGGCTGCTGCCAACGCAGTGCCTCCCAGCTCGGCCAGCCACGGATGGACGCGGATGAAAGCAAGCAAAGGCTGGCCACAGCAACTCACCGCCATGATGGAGAACAGGAAAAGAGAGCGGGACTTCCGGCCCGGAGCCTTATGGGCCAGGAGGCGTGCTCTTTCCCCAAGCGAACAAGAGAGACGGAGAGGCAGAGAGGCGCCTGACGCTGCTCGGGGCGCTCTAGCGCCGGCGTTCCCCCAGTGGACGCATCCTAAAACTGCAGGCACCGTCTACTAACAAGACTTAAGATTCCACACCTGGGGTGGGTGGGAGACTGGGTGGGGCTTCTCTCTTAATACCCACCTTTACCTTAGACACATGAAGGCAACAATATGGAAATAATAGTCTTACAAACAAACAAAAAAGGATTTCCCAATACCTGAACTCCAAAGTCCTTGAATTTCTGTAACATTGCACACACAACTCCAACAGAGTGGGGAGTGCTGTCCGGAGCCACATTAATGGTATAGCGTGTTCCGCTGCCTAGAAGCCTAATTGCAGAGAGGGAAGGAGAGAGAGAGAGAGAAATCTTCCATGTGCAGGTTCATTCCTCAAACGGGCAAAACTCCCAGGGCTGGGGCCAGACTGAAGCTAGGAGACAGGAACTTCACCCAGGCCTTCCGTGTAGGTGCAGGGGCCCAACCACTTGGGCCAACATCTGCCTGTCCAGGGACATTAACAAGAAGCTGGATGGGAGGTGGAGCAGATGAGACTCAAACCAGCACTCTGATGTGGGGTTAGCCCGTTCTCCCCGTTCTCCCCATATTTTTTTAAAAGATTTATTTATTTATTGGAAAGTCAGATATACAGAGAGGAGGAGAGGCAGAGAAGAAGATCTTCCATCCGATGATTCACTCCCCAAATGACCGCAACGACCGGTGCTGTGCCGATCCAAAGCCAGGATCCAGGAACTTCTTCCAGGAATCCCACACGGGTGCAGGGTCCCAAGGCTTTGGGCTGTCCTTGACTGCTTTCCCAGGCCACAAACAGGGAGCTGGATGGGAAGTGGAGCTGCTGGGATTACAACCAGTACCCACATGGGATCCTGGCGCATTGAAGGCAAGGACTTTAGCCGCTAGGCCACAGTGCCGGGCCCCGTTCTCCCCATACTTTAACCGAAAGGGACTCAAACCTCTTCCTGCCTTTCCTAAGGGGACACGGACGGACGCTACCAGGGGGACAAGAGGGGCACTGTGGGAACCTGGGCTGATGGAGAAAGAGGAGGAAAAGCCCCACCCACCAGCTTAGAGCCCAGGGTTTAGCCCCGCCTCTGAGGGGCAGCACTCAGGGAGGGATTACATACAAACTTGGAATAAAGAGGTGAGCATTTGGCACAGCAATGAAGACATCACTTGGGACGCCTCTTCCCTTGTTGGAGCGCCTGGGGTCAAGTCCAGCCTTCACGTCCTATTCGTCTTCCTTTTCACGCTCACCCAGGGAGGCAGTGCGGAAGCCTCAAGTACTTGGGTCCTAAGTGGGAGACTCAGATGGGGTTCGTGTTTCCTGGCTTTGACCTGGCCCAGCCAGGTACATTTTGAAGGGTGGGCAGGTTGCCCCAGAAGTTTCTGGCACACGAACGTGCCTGGAACCAATTGAGTAATGGTGCAGTCTTCAGAACTCAGGATTTTGGGGTCACCTTCTCTCTTCTTGCCTGAATGCTGGTTGATCTCCTTTGCTTGGCAAGTCTGGAGGTGATGTGAATTTTGTGGCAGCCTGGACCACTGCTACATGGCCAGGGTAGTTGAAATAACCCCTTGGAGCCAAGACAGGAATGGAAGGGGGTCTTGGCAAGTCTCCTACAGAAGGTAGACCTACCCAGCAGAGGGGCAGACACCTTGGCCACACTCTTAAGCTAATGAACATTGGAACTCTCAGAAGTGGAACAAGTTCTGTGCTAAGTGAGTTGTGCATTCCAATTCGAATGTTTATTTCTCATACCCAAAAGGCAGAGACACAGGGAGACCCAGAGAAGGACACCCATCTGTTGGTTTGTTTCCCAAATGCCTGTAACAAACAGCCAGAGCCAGGCCAGGACGAAGCCAGGAGCCCTGAACTGTATCCAAGTGTCCATGGGGGTGGCAGAGTCCAAGTATTTGCGCCATCACCTGCTACCTCCAGAACACATTGGCAGGAAGTGGGGTTAGAAATAGAGTAATTGGGGGCCCGGCGGCGTGGCTTGGTGCGTAAAGTCCTCACCTTGAATATGCTGGGATCGCATATGGATGCCGGTTCTAAACCCGGTTGCTCCACTTTCCATCCAGCTCCCTGCTTGTGGCCTGGGAAAGCAGTCGAGGACGGCCCAAAGCCTTGGGACCCTGCATCCGTTTGGGAGACCTGGAGAAAGTTCCTGGATCCTGGCTTTGGATCGGCACAGCAATGGCCATTGCGGTCACTTGGGGAGTGAATCATTGGATGGAAGATCTTCCTCTCTATCTTTCCTCCGTTCTGTATATCTGACTTTGTAATAAAAATAAATAAATCTTAAAAAAAAAAAAGAAATAGAGTAGTTGGGACTCCAGCTAGGCACGCAAGGTTGGGATGCAGGCCTCCTACACAGCAGTTTAACCCACTGCACCACAACATGTGCCCTCTTGCATTTCGATTTAGTATTCATAGCAGCCCTATGAGAGCTGCAATTATGCTGATCTCATTAAAATGAAAGTCACAGACATTGGAATTCTGGATAATTTCCTTAGAGTTCACAGTTAGGACAGTCAATTTCAGGAGATGTCCCTCAGAGGGTGGTCTCCTCTGGGAGACAAGGCTCGCCACCACTGAGGGTGGGTCACTCTCACAGCTCCCGCCCTCTGCATTGTCCACCCAGCGTCCTTCATGTTGAAGCCTGCATTGTCACCAGGCAGGGCCTCAGACAGAACCTCAAGTGCATTCCCACAGCCTTGACCTCCAAGAGGGTGGCTCATGGGGTACAGATCACCACCACATCTGGCATGAGGAAGCCCCTTTGTACCAAACCCTTGGGCACAATGCCTGGAGCGGCAGAGCATCGAGGATCCTCAGCAACCAGGCCACAGTGGATGTCCAACCTGCCTCGCCTCAACATGGCCCAGTCTCATGCCCACTCTTGTACATGTCTTGAATGGGCACCCCCAGGGCCTCTCTGCAGGGGACGGGAAAGGGACATAACAGAAGCCTCTGCTTCTAACAGTGTTGTGCCTGCTGCCTTCCCCTCTCCTTCCTGGTACCTTCCAGGCTTTGACCTGAACCTCTGGAAAAGTCACCAACCATGCTGCTCACTTAGGCCACAGAGACACCTGCCTGCACTTAGCCTGGGATCGCAAGTGTTTGAGGAGTTTGAAGTCTGGATGGAACAGCAAGATCACTGTGTATCTTTTTTTAAGCTTTCTTTATTATTTATTTTATTATAAAGTGAGATTTCCAGAGAGAAGGAGAGACAGAGAGAAAAATCATTCATCCGTTGGATTCACTCCCCAAGTGACTGCAATGGCCATAGCTGAGCTGAGCTGAGCTGAAGCCAGGAACCAGTAGCTTCTTCTGGGTCTCCCACAAGAGTACAGGGTCCCAAAGCTTTGGGTTGTCTTCTACTGCTTTCCCAGGCAACAAGTGGGGAGCTGGAAGGGAGGTGGAGCAGCCGGGACATAAACTGCCGGTATGGGATCCCAGCACATGCAAGGTGAGGACCTTAACCACTAGGCTATTACACCGGGCCTGGTTACTGTGTATCTTACAGGCCGTTATAAAGACACAAAAGTCACACATGTCACCAAGCATGTTGCTAAGCGATAGCCCAATTAATTACAGGTGTTTCCGTAGAATCTCCAACCTGGGTCCACTTGTCTGATGCACAAATGCCAATCAGTGACATCAGAGTGGTAGGAGATACAGGTGTTTATTGCAAAGTGTGGGGCAAGAAGCTGGGCAGCTATTGCTTCATTGTCAGGCTCCCCAAAGGAATTAAGGGTGAAGATTTTAATAGATTGAAATCGCGACTGAGAAGTGCGTGATCAGCTAGTGTCCAACTTTCTGATTGGGCAGTAGTACTCATGCTCTTCCTATGGTTGGTCAGTGACGCTGTGCTCTTAGGCAATTTATGATGACAAGATGGCTTCCAGTTGGTCTGGGAGTCACGTGAAGGTGGTAGTTACATTCCGCCCAGACCAGGAAATTCCACTAAATAGACTCTTCTGGCCAACAGTGGCCATCAAGGTTCTTACCTACTGGAGATGCAAATGACTTCTGGAGTCTGGAGACTAGAACCTTGGATGGCCAGGAGCATCACTCCCAACAGCCAGGAAGTTGCTTTCAGTCAAGGTCAGGCAAGGACACCTTGGGCTAAAGGAGACCAACAAGAAGCAGGTCCTGCTTTCACGTCATGGGGTTCTGTTTCAGTCAAGCACAGTGTTTGACTCCCTGGAGTACTGTGGGCCACCAAATGATGATGATCGCTGTGACTCTCATAGGCTTTGTAAGACTCTTCTGAACCCGCGTAGTCGGGCAGCAGAGATCCTGCAGCTGAACAGCCCTGAAAGTCCACTCTCTGCTCACTACTCGGATGGGAAACTGAGGCCCGAGCCAAGGAAGGAAGGAAAGAACATTCAACAAGTTATGTAAGTGTCAGGGGTAATACAGGTGAAAATCATTCGCTCCTGCTCATTGTAAAGGCGAAGGTGTTTCCTGCAGCATCTGATGGTAAGCCCTCACTGATAGGCTACCAGGCCTACATCCTCTTCGCTTGGAAGCCAACTTGTACGTGAGAGCAGCGGTGTGAAGTGTGAGAACTTCCAGGGGCAAGTCTCAGGATGACCTTGTGTCCTGTGCATATGTTTTCAACAGGCCTGGTATGTACTCCTCAAAAACTCCTGCCCAACGCTCGAGACATTGCCTTTGTCCTCAGGGACTGATTGGTTAACTGGAAACACAAGACGTGGAACACATAGAGCAAACCAAGACGGTGGAGGTTGAGGGCTAAGCGGGCAACCAGATCATCAGAGCAGTGGGGCTGGTCAGCCCGCTGCCTCAGATCAGGCGCCCATGCACAAATCTGGATGAAATTTCTCCTTTGCAGCTGCAGGTGCTTGAGCAAGTCTCTAAGCTTCAAAAGCTTCATCTCCCATCAGCACCCAGGGAGATGCCAGC